ATTATTCATGCTGGTGGAGGGGAACACTGACACTATTCCAAAGCAGAAGGGAATTGAAAACACCATGTATACATGTATGTTATATTAGGCTTTGTAAGATACTGCACACAATGCTTTTGGCAGTTATGTCTTCTGAATAAAATTTTTCTTTGGCTAATTTTAAAATTGCTCTATACTCCTACATGTGGGCTGGCAAATGAAGAGAGAAGGCTATAGTGAAAGAAACATGTCTAGAGTTTAAAATTCATAGCATATAATCTATAAAATGTATACTGTGCAGGCAAATGAATAAAGACTTTTTATGGTGAGAATATAAACCACTTTTAAGCACAGACAGACCTGAAATAGAGCTATGAAAGCATGGAAAATGGCATGCTAACCCCTGCAGTGTCTGATGCAATGCAGATGTAAAATAGTAAAACAAAACATCTGGATTCAAAATCATCCATTGTAGTACTTATTCTCAGAACCCAGCTTTTCATAATCAGAGGACACTCTTTTAAAAGCAGCTCCATCTGAAATCATAGCCAGCAAAGTATTTCAGAAGAAATATGAAACACTCATCTCCAGGGGTTAAAGAAAAGGGTCTGTCAAATAAACTTGATATAATGTATTTCTCCATCTCTTAACACATAGGACGGGTCTTGCAAAAAAAGATGTGTAAATATGATTTATCTTAAATTAAGCACATTAAACCTTTCCCAACACTGCAAGAATTTAGATCATTTAAAGATTTTTTTTTTTTTTTAAGACAGAGTCTCTGTCGTCCAGGCTGTAGTACAGTGCTGAGATCATAGTTCACTGCAGCCTCAAACTCCTGGGCTCAAATGATCCTCCTGCCTCAGCCTCTGGAGTAGCTGGGACTATAGGTGTGCCCCACCATGCCTGTACAATTTTTTTAATTTTGTGGAGATGAGATCTCACTATGTTGCTCAGACTGGTCTCAAATTCCTGGCCTCAAGCAATCTTCCTGCTTCAGACTCCCAAAGTGCTAGGATTACAGGTGTGAGCCACTGTACCTGGCCAGAAGATTTGGATGTATTATTTACAGTTTACAGATCCTTTTCAGGTCCTCTGAAACCTAGTAAATTTCTTATTGTTAAGATTTATACCATCCCCTCACGTGAACTCTCTCCCCCAACCTTGAAGGAGAGTAAAATTTCTGAAACTTATAGCACCATACAACATTCTAATTATCACGTACCTTGGAGAAAATTTTCCAAACTTTTTACACTAATTGTTTTTCCCTCCCATCCATCTCCAACAAAGGAGTTCTCGTGCTTCTCCTATCTGAAACTCTGAAGGAACACCAATACCACCAGTCCCTGCTGCCAGGTCCTCTTCAAATCCCCTGATTCTGCTTTTGAAGCCTAAAAGAATCCAATCAGCTGAGAAGAACTGTCCTCAGAGACTGGGAGGGAAAAAGATCAAGCGGGCCTTGACAGAACTGGTAGCTAGCAAGAAGAGGGAAGGCACATCCGTGCATTAATACTTCTCATCCACTCACACACACATCTGTGATTCCTGATGTTAGTGGATGTCGGATTGTAGACTGTGTGGTGGGTTGCCAGTTTTTGTTGAGTCTAGCCCTGGAAGAAAGGATATATACATATAATTGGAACCAGGCAAGCAGTCAGGGCCTTGGCTTACTGTGCTGAGCTTTGTTGGGGGTAGGTCAGGCTCTAGGCCAAGGGGACTGCTTCTGGAAACAACTCTAAATACATTTTCCTAGATCACCAGTTTCCCAACCAGACTAGTCAGTCTCACCCATGAGGCCCAACTGTTCATTCATCCTTTCATTCCCACACTCTTCTTTCAATAAACACTTATCAAGTGCTTTCTATTATTTCCATGCAATGAGGTTAAGGCATAGCCGCTGACTTCAGGAGTTTATGGAAGGGAAAAGATAAAGGTGGAACTAGGTCGGTCAGTGTGACCAAGCGTTAAAGATTACAGTAAAGTGTGCATAGGTTTCATGAGGGGCATAAAGGAACCTTGACTCCTCCACCCTATGAAGTCTGCTTTCCCATTATCCACCCAGCTCCTGAGTCCACTACTTACTTCTACCTTCCTCTGCTCTAACCCTTTCACTGTGCCCCTTGAAACATGCAAATAGACTTCTGGGTATTTTTTACTTTGCCACAGGTTCTCTTTCCACATCTTAGCCCTCAGTGAAGCCAAACCTAGCTTTTTCATAGATTCCACCTTCCTCAAAAGTTTGTCCAGTGGCATCTACTCTGCCTCCCACTTTCCCTGACTCGCAGGGCAAGGAGAGTGTCCACACAGCCTCTTGCTCCCCAAGAGCTGCTTGATAGTTTACATGGCCATTCAACCCCTTCTTCCAAGTGTAGCCCCCTGCTTTGCACCACTTTCTCAGCTTTGCAGGGATGAGGATTCGACCCAGGCCACAGCCATTTTTCAACTCAGCATGCTTTTCCGTGTCTTCTAACCAGCCTCAGCTCCTGCCTGGCTGTATTCACTCGCCATCATCTCACCCGTGTTTCATGACCAACCTGCACCCTGGAAGGGAGTTCCTGACTATGTTCAACGACATGCATTCAACAAATGTTGTACTGGGAAGTGGGCATGTAAGGGTAGACGAATTATAGTCCCCACCCTCAAGGAGCTTGCAATCCAGAGAAATAGCAAGTGAAGAGCTTTCAATACAAAGGGGTGTTAGAAGACTAGGCAGCGGATGCTCTGGGAGGATGTCATAATCCTTCCTCATCATTTTCTTTGCCTTTCTGACCCCCTCATACCATAGAGTCCCCTAGAACCCTCACCCTGCTCACTCCTTGTGTTGTCTGCTCTGTGATCCTTTCTCATCTACCCCTATGTTGCCGAGAATTCTACAGAACACAGTGAAACTGTGTTGATCTAGCCCATTACAAATTGATGCTCCTCACCTTCCCTTATGTTCCTTATGGTTCTGAGCCGCTCTTTAATTCATCTTACTGATCTTCAAGGACATTCTCCATGGTGACTTTTCAATTTTTCTGCTCTCATAATGCCACCACCAGTCTCTCTCACCCCATCACTATTAAGAGTGGTGATCAGAATTCCAGTTACAACACTCCTCCTCCTGAAAAGTTCAGGACTTTTTCTTCACCATGTTTTCTATAAAACCTTTTCTCCTGTTTCTAGCAACTCCATGCCTACGACTCCATCCCCCTCACACCTGCTCTGGGCATCTGGGAGGTCATTACTTCAATCATTCCTTCTTGCTGTGGCTTCACTCTTGCCCCTTCATGACTCACTCTAACATCTGTCTAACAAGCCATACACATAAAACAAAAACAAAACCCAACTTTCATTCAAACCAAAATACTGATTCTCTTTTTTGAGACTGACAACTTTCTGAAAAGATTGATCTACAAAATTCAGCTGCCTCCATTTTCTTATTACTAACTCTTCACTCCTAGCAATCTGGTTTCCGCTCCCACTATTTTAAATTGCTCACCAGAAGATCATACAAATGATATGCCGTTTGTCAAACCCCATTGATTTTCCCATAATCATAATACTTGCCATCACTGGTCATTCCTTTATCTTGACATTGTATCTTCCTTAGCTCTGAGACATTTTCCTACCTTTCTTCTCCATACCTCTTTCATGTCTCTTCTAGCTTCTCCCAAGTTCTAAAGAGACATTTACTACATACTAGATTTTAAAACCGTTTTGAGTGCCTGTCTAAAGTATGCAAGGCACTGTGCTGTAGAGACAAAACAGCTGTTAAGAGGGGTCTAACTGTGGCCAGGCACGGTGGCTCACACCTGCAATCCCTTGAGGCTGGAGCGAGACTCTGCCTCTACCAGAAAAAAAAAAAATTATTGGGCATGGTGGTGCATGTTTGTAGTTTAGAGGCTGAGATGAGAGGATTGCTTGAGCCCAGGAGTTTGAGGCTGCGGTGAGCTATGATCACACCAATGCCTGGAGACAGAGTGAAACCCAGTCTCTCTTTTTTTCTTTTTTCTTTTTTTGAGACAGAGTCTCACTCTGTGGCCCAGGCTAGAGTGCAGTGGCGTCAGCCTAGCTCACAGCAACCTCAAACTCCTGGGCTCAAGCGATCTTCCTGCCTCAACCTCCCAAGTAGCTGCGGTGCCCAGCTAATTTTTTTCTTTCTTTTTTTGTAGAAAAAAGTCTGTTGGTCAGGCTTCCAGTTTGCTTTTTGTACAAGCAGATCTGCTAGTAATGTTCTTTTATATACCCTACTACCCCAAATTAGTTTGCTTTTATCCTTTGGCTAACAGTCCAAGGATTCCTTAAGTTGTTTCCATCATATGGTAGCAGAGCAGACTATTTTATCACATTATATTTAGAAGACAATACAGGGTAGTGTCATGACCATGGATTATGGATTCAGGCTAGGTCTCTGGGCATATTTATTTAACCTCTTTGTCTTGGTTTCCTCACCTGTAAAATTGGGGTAATAGTAGTACTTACTTCACAAAGTTATTCAAAAGATTAGAGATGATGCACGCGAAGCACTTATAATTGTGTTGATATGCAGTTCTAAGAGCCCAGTATATGTCAGTCATGATCACATTTACTTAGTGTTCACTATCCCCCCCAGCCCCTGGGAGTATCCCCGCTCCTCTAGCCCAGGAACCGCCCCAGCCTGATCCTCTTTCTTTCCTTAGCCTCAGCACAGGGTTCTACATACAGCAGGCCTTCGGTGCTCGATATTTTAAAATACAAAAAAATAAAGGGACAAAGCCTTGAGTCCCACTTTTGCCTTATTAGCTAAACGATCTTAGGCAAATCACTCCAACTATCTAGGCCTCATGTACTCTTCTGTAAAATGTAATACGTACCACAGAGAAGTTTTGCGTTAAATGAGGCGATGCATCTACAACAGCACAATGCACATCTTAAAATGCCGTAAAAACGGTAGATGTTTATTTAAAAAAGCAGAGTCCACGCCTTTCCTCCCCTCCGGCGCTTCTCTCCCTCCTCCCAGCCCACACCCCTACTACGCCCTAGGCCCTCGGTCCCTCGGGATTGCAAGCGTGGGAGCCTCATTCCCCCGTAACTCCCTCCCGCCTCCCTTCGCCCTCCTTCCTTCCTCGCCCGGACGGACGCACTTCCGGCGGATGTGGAGGGCGGCCCCCGGAAACGGAAGTAGGCAGCGGGGTCGGCTGACGGTAACGAGGCTGAGAGGCTGTTCGCAGAGCGGCTGAAGATGGTGAGTGAGTCCCCGGGCGGCCCGAATTCCAGGCAGGCTGGAGACCGTGGCTCGGGAGGAACAGGCCGCGGCCTCCCAGTCCGCCCCTGGGTGGTGGCGGCGGCGGCGGCGTGGGCATGAAGCCGGCCTCGAGCGCCATGATCTGTCGAGTCATTGGGTAGGGGCGGGTCGTGATTGTAGCCGGGGCCCGGCTCCGACACTGGTCCCACAAGCAGCGGTTCAGCTTCCTCCCGTTTCTCCTCTTTCGGTTTTCGCCCTTTCTTCCCCAGTCCCCTTAGCAGCTTGGGCCCCTTCCCCTTAGTTGGCGCGGAGCTGGAAAGGGAAACCCGAAAGTGCAACGTTCTGTGGGGTGGCGCCGCCGACCCTTGCCCCGAAAGGGGTAACCTCTGGGAGCCCACAGCCTCAAACTCCTCACTGCACACCTCCTCTCGCTTGCAAGTGCATAATAACCAACCCACAACTATAGGTCGCATTTATATAGCTAAGCTTTATTTGCAAACGGTGTTGAGAGCTTGTAGTATGCCAGGTGTCATAGGTCAAAAAAAAAAAATCAATGCAGTTATTATTCCCAGATTGTCAATATTGTTAGTGCATCTCCCCCTTTCCTCCTACACCCCTCCCCTTCTCTTTAACTTAAAAGTTGTGATATTTGGGAAGGCTCCTGAGTTACCATTGCCACTGACTCTGATATCAGTTAATGCTGGTAGGCCATCTATCCAAATTTAGAAAGTTTCTGTTGGTAAACATTGCTAATCGTTATAAAGAAGTTTCATAAACACTCTCAAGTGTAACTGGTAACTACGTTTTCATAAATTTGTTTTTCACTGCTACTTTATTAGAAACATTGAAGTACTGGCCTTGATATTTTACAAAAGGAAATTGGAAAAATGACTGTAACAATAAAACCCAAAGGTCAGAATTCCCCTTTTCTTTGCGCATAGAAGAAACTTTTTCTTTCACTTTACAGTAAAGCAGTGTCACTGGAGGAGAATGTCCATGTAGGAAAGAAGCAAAAGATACATTTGGAAAGCTACAATCATACAGCTCTGTGGACGGTCCCCAACTTATGATGGTTCAACTTAACGGTTTTTCTAGACCTGATAATATTGTGAAAGTGGTATACATTCAGTAGGGACTGCATTCAGTAGACACTACTTCTAGTATCCATAAAGCCATTCTATTTTTCATTTTCAGTGCAGTATTCAATAAGTTACGTGAGATATTCAACTTTTTTTTTTTTAATAAAATAGTCTTGGTATTAGATGATTTTGCCCAACTGTAGGCTAATGTAAGTGTTCTGAGCACGTTGAGCTAAGCCAGGCTAAGCTCTGACGTTCAGTAGGTTAGGTATGTTAAATACACTTTCAACTTTTGGTATTTTCAACTTGTGATAGTTCTATTGGGAAGTAACCCTATCATAAGTTAAGGAACGTCTGTAGTCCTGGAAGGAGTTCAGCTACCTGGTGCAAATGAGTAAACAGGGCCAAAGAGATGGTGTGCTTTGCTGGCAGGTTCTTCACTTCCAGGCTAAGGACTTTGGCCTTTATTTTTCAGACATTGATGAACCAATGAAAGATTTTATAGCAGTTTTGGTGGGAAAGGTTGTACATTTTAGGAAAGCCTTGATATGCAGAATTGGACAATGGTTGAGTCTAAGACAGCAAGACCCAGTAGAGTGCTATTGAAGTTATTGCTGTGGGAGAGCCTGGGCTAGAGTGGTAGAATGAAGAAACCCCAGACAGGAGAAAGTACCTGATGAAATAAAATGTACAAATATATTAAGAAATCAATAAATCAAACTATTCTGGTTTCTCAGAATAGTTTCTCTTAGAGTAGTATTAAGATTAGATACCAAACTACCTGTAGCTATTTTACGTTTTTACACACTTACAGGGATATTGAACTTAAGGAGCAAGTGATTTAAAGTCAGCATGTTGTGCTTTATCTGTCGTAACACTTACTATTTTATTTGCTTGTTTGATATATGTTCATTAGATGAAGCCATGGGAGGTAGACATGCATCTTCAGCACCTAGCAGAGTACCTGACACATAATAGGTGCCTAATAAATACTCGGTGATTGCATGTTTCATAGAATAAATGTGTAGGGTGACAATACTTCTATACTAAATTCACTGTCTCTTCTTTTTGATTTTTGTTTTGTTTTACACTATTTTGATTAGATACATTTAGTTTTTGTTGATAATGCCCTCCTCTTATGGAAACCAAACACTTTTCACTGGGGGCAGTGGTATATGCCTATAATCCCAGCTACTCAGAAGGCTGAGGCAGGAGGATCGCTGGAGCCCAGGGGTTCAAATCCAGCCTGGGCAACATAGTAAGACCTTGTCTCTAATGTTAAAAAAAAAAAAAAGGAAAGAAAGAAACTAAACACTTTATGAATTATCTTTTTTCCTAACTTTTTTTTCTAGCTGTCCTGTTCTTAATCCCATTTCTTTGTTCTTCCTTGTCTTTAGGTAATGATATTCCCCAGGATTCTGTCTTCCACTTGTTCATTCCGTGCCAAACATTCCAACCTAAGGGAGAGATCTTTCCAGTGAAAGCAAATCTGATCATGCCATATCCCTTCACAGGCTCTCCATCAGTTTCAGAATAAAACCCAGATTTCTTTGCATGTAATACTTTATTTTTCCATTTTGCCAGCCTTTACTTCTGTCTACTGATACAAGTATTTAGCCAGTCATCTCCAACTACTCATAACTTGTTCATTTATATTTTCGCACCTTTATCCATGTAATTTCTTTTTTTTTTTCTTTTTCTTTGCTGAAGATGCTACATAATATGCTATTTCTTGTTTCCTGGAATGCCTTTCAGTTTGGCAGCATTAAGAGATCAGCTCAGGGCTGGGTATGGTGTGCACATATGTAATCCCAGCACTTTGGGACCCTGAGGTAGGAGGATCGCTTGAAGCCAGGAGTTTAAGTCTAGCCTGGGCAACATAGTGAGACCCTGTATCTACAAAAAAATGTTAAAAGTTAGCCACCTGTAGTGGGACGCACCTGTAGTCCCAGCTACTTGGGAGGCTGAGGTGGGATGATCACTTGAGCCCAGGAGCTCATGGCTTCAGGAGCTATACTCACACTACTGCACTCCAGCCTGGGTGACAGTGAGACTCTGTCTCAAAAAAAAAAAACCCAAAAAACCCCTGGAGATCAGCTCAGAAATCTTTTCCACTCACAAATTTGCTATTACTCATTGTACCACGTATGTCCCTCTATCATAGTGCTTAAGCCTTGTTGTAATTGTCTACTTTGTGAGTTCTTTGAGAGAGAGACCTTATCTTTTCTTTCTCCTACTTAAACAGTATTTTTGACATAGGTGTTGGGGTGCGTATGTTTACATTTTTTTGGTATTTATTTGTGTTGTAGAATGCCAGAGGACTTGGATCTCAGCTAAAGGACAGTATTCCAGTTACTGAACTTTCAGCAAGTGGACCTTTTGAAAGTCATGATCTTCTTCGGAAAGGGTATATGGGAGGAATTGTGACTTTGAATTTGTCATAAAATGTTTTCTGTGAATTATTTTTCATAATATTCTTCATAAGACTATAAATGTGTATTTAACTTGGTAGATGGAAGTGATATACCTTAGATGGGTTGGGAAGTGGGAGGGGAAGAGGCTTAGAAGAAACATCTTCTCAGAGTAGTAGGTTCCCAGAGTAGGGCATCCTTCTAGGCAATGGTACCCATTAGCATGATTTAATAGGAATTATTATCATTATTATTATTGTTGCTACTGGTAACTTGGAGAGCCATTTGCTTCCTTATTTTTTTAGTTATTGGAGTAATTTACTTTTTGGGGGGCTCTAGAACACAGCAGTTAAGAGGATGGACCCTCGACTCAGACTGCCTAGATTTGGATCCTGACTGTTATTTAGTAAAGGCTATGTGTCCCTTTGGGCAAGTTACTTAATTGCTCTATGTCTCCATAGATAGGGTCCATATCTATCAAAGAGGGCCAATAATAGTATATATCTCATTTTGAGGAATAATGAGTTAATACCTAACAAATACTTAAAATGGTACCTAACGTTAGAAGCACTCAGTGAGTGTTGACTGCTGGTGTTTTTCTTTTCTAGCTTTAGCACTTTCCTAACTTTCTTTTCTGTGTTTTCCTTTATGTTTTTGTATGTTTAAGTCTCAGTTTCTGCTACTAGTCCTTTTTCTTGTCTGGTCACTTTTCTGCTTAATCAAATAAGAATAATGCCTTTCCCCCATAAGCATTCTGTATTCTGAATTTTTAAATTTTATATCTAATTTTAAAGTGTTATTATAATAGAGTGACATTTGAATGCTGGTGTCTGGGTACAGACATAATCTCTCATTATAGACTTACAATTTTATAGTAAAAGACGCGGTATATAGCCTGTGGAATTGGAGATATAATTTGATGTGTAGTATAATCAGATTCACTGGCTGGGCAGTAACTAAGTCCTGATGATTTTTTTTCACGTAAAATGTTCCTTTTTCTTTTTTTTCCTGATTGAACTGTAAGATTGCCACGGGCAGGACAATTTTCAAGCCCCACTTCTTGGATAATGTTCTGTACAAAGACAATATTCAATAAATGATCGTGGCAGGATTTCTAAGGCTTCTTTCAGCTTTCAAATCCAGATTTGGACAATAAGGTAGTCATCTGTGTATTTCTAGAGTGATAAAGACCAGTGGCCTGATTCTAGCTCTGCATCACCTAACAGTACTTTTGCACAGAGGTGTTTAGTAAATGCTCTAACATGTTTATTAAAGATATATTAAATACTGAGTATGTGGTAGACCTGGAGGGAAAAGGCTTAAGTATTTTATATAGTGTTAAAGCATCTCATCAGAGTAATAGTAATGCACATACATTTATTAAATTTCTTCTAGGTTTAGGGCATCATTTAGCACCAGGTTTTGGAAGGTTCTCTCTGGTGATTGGAGTCTTGACCACCACCATAATAGATGCATTCTTGAACAATTATCATACAATGCATTTGACTCTTTTTCTTTTTGGTGAATAGTTCTATGAATTTTAACACATGTGTCAATTCCTGTAACACCATGGTCAGGATACAGAACTGTTTTTCATCTCTTCAGAAAAACTCCCTCATGCCATTCTATTGTAGTCACACCCTTAGTAGATAGGATTTTGAGCTGTGGGTATTGAGTGATACTTAATTGCCCTTTTAATTTTTTTTCCAGTTTTTCCTGTGTGAAAAATGAACTTTTGCCTAGTCATCCTCTTGAATTATCAGAAAAAAATGTAAGTATGTTATTGTGTCGATTTCCTTGTAGGCTTTCAAATTATCATTATATTGCTTCACTAAAGCTCCCTGTCTGCACATCCTTTTCTGTCTTTTATGCACATGTCTAAAGGTTGATCCACTTCTCCATTCTTCTTGTAATTTTCTCATTTGATAGTCCTGTTTTCTTGTATATTTTTCCCTGCCATTTTTGTTGTTGATCTCCAAGTCTGTATCCCCTACCCTTGACATCTTTTTTAAGCCCTGCATCTCCAAGTTACTGAGGGACATATCCACTAGGCACAGTAGGTACACTGATAAGTATGATATAACCCCCACCCTTAAGGACCTTAAAAGTTAATGGGAAAGACAAGTAGTGTGTAAGAGGAGGCTTCATAAAGTGCTGGAGAGGACCAAGGATGGGTCAAGCCGCTAAGTGCTTAGGGCTTTTGGAAGACTTTATAGAGGAGGGGACATTTGGGCAGTTTTAGGCCAATATCCGTCAAGTAACTAGGTGGGGAAAGGTCACTTCAAAGAAGGGATGGCATGTACCAATCTTCTAGAAACAACTTAAAGGCTTCTTAAGTAAGCATTAGCAGCAAGAAGATAAAGGCTACTCACTACTTGGGGAAGGTGGTACAATGTTATTTGGTAACAGAAAACTGATTTCATTTTTAAAATTTTTTTGCGTCCTTTCTCTTTAACAAGGGGATAGATCTTTCTATAAGAGAAGATAAATAATGTAATTGTGACAAGTAAGATGAGAAAATAAAGAGCTTCTAGTTGTTTTAATTGCATTCAGGTTTCAGGCTCAGAAATTGACAGCCCAGAGTAGACTGCAAAGCATATGAGTATGATTATAAAAGCATAGTTGATCATCTTTGAGAAATAATGGGAGAAATGAAAATTGCCTGTAGACTGAAGATGGATAAATAGTCCACTTTTCTAAAAGGGATTTAACTAAAAAGTAAGACTGTGGTAACATTGGCCTCTGGCACTATTCTTAAGTGGACTATTGAGTAGAGGGCTGTGAGCATTTAGTAAAGTAAGTGATGATCACCAGCAACTCTGTGAGCTCATAGCAAATTAATCTTAGTTCGTTCTTTTATTAAATTACCAAATGGATCAGTGAAGGGACCAAATTATCTGACAAGGGATAAGCTTGAGGATTAGATGGTAGATTATGGGCCAAGTGAAAGTAGTGTAGGGTGAATCGTGTGTGGTTGATAACTGTACCCAGAAAGCAATAATGGTTAAGGAATGATCAATTTAGAGGGGATGTGTTGGTAGGGATCTTGGGCCTCTACTTACATTTTAGGTAGTAAGGTGAACACTTAGGAGATTAAATATTTTTCAAAGATATGAAAATAACCATAGAAATCACATAAATTAGGTTTTTAGAAGACAAAGCTGGTAAAGATAGTTCATTTTGGTAAATAATTGAACTATATCACAATGACAGAATAGACCAAAAGGCTAGGCGAAAACTTTCAGAAAAACATAGAGTTGGAGTGTAAATCATGCATTTGAGTTCAAAAAATGAATTGTACACATTTAGGTAGGTTAAACCTGACTTGATATGTAAAATTTGACAATTTAATTGACTGTATACTCAATATTTAGCTATGAAAAAGAATGGTTAATGTAATCTTGAACTTTATTAATAAGATGGCTGGCCAGTAGATTTGGAATATTGGTTCAGTTCTGAGCAATACATGTTAAGAGAAATTTTGACAAATCTGAGTGAGACTGGCCAGAATGGTGAAGACTCTAAAAATGTAGATCTTTTGAGACTCAGCTTATACCTACTGCCTCTATTCTTCCTTCATCACTTAACCAGCTAATGACAGTCTTTTTCTTTCTTAAAATTCTGTAGAACTTACTATCTATTATAAGTCCTTTAGCATGGGTTGTGTAGTTGAACTACTTGGGCGCCACACTTATTATGTCAAGTTGAGCAAATTGCTTAATTGTCTTTACATCTTAGTCTCCTCATCTGTAAAATGGAGTTAGAAATGGTTCATCTCTTGGCATATTGCTGGCCTCTGGTAGCTCTCCATGATTAGGAGCTGTAGTGGTGAGAGTGATGGAAGATGACTGTCATCATCTGTATCAGTGGTTCTCAACTAGGGGAGGAATTTGCCCCCCTCCCCCCGACCCTGAGGGGATAGTTGGCAATGTCTAAAGATATTTTTGGTTGTCACAAATGATGTGGTGGGGGTCGGAATGTTGTTAATACTGGCATCTACTGAGTCAAAGCCAGGGATGCTGCTAAATATCCTACAATGCATAGGATGGGACAGCACCCCACAAGAAAGACTGATCTGGCCCAAGACATCAGTAGTGCCAAGAGTTGAGGAGCCCTGATCTGTACTCCCAGCTAGAATACAACCTCCTCCAGGATAGACTTTCTTCTGTTTTGTTGTATGTCACCACAGAGCCTAATTTTGCACATGGTTGCTAATTTGTATATTGATTGATAATTGTAGTTTTAATATCACATTACAGTGTGATACACATGAGTTGGATGTATTCATCAAAATTTATATAAATTGAATTTTTTCTGCATGAAATTATATTTATTGCTGGGTGCAGTGACATGCACCTGTAGTCCTAGCTACTTGGGAGGCTGAAGCAGGAGGCTTACTTGAGCCCAGGAGTTTGAAGCTGTACCTATGAATAGCTGCTACATTCTAGCCACATAGCACGACCCCATTTCTTTAAAAATCATATTTACTTATCATGAGGATATCTCAGTATTTAAAGGAAACCCTTTACTGAGAAATTCAGATCATATACTCATAATAAACTATTGCAGATTTTTCCTAATGACCATGTCAAAATTTTGCTGTGTCAAGCTAAAATAATTGAAATCATATTAGATACCTTCATAGTAGGCACTAATTTCTCCATAGATTTTTGATCAAAATGATCTTTTTGGTGACAGAAAAAAAATCTTATCTAGAGAGTATAGTATAATAAAAAATAATAACAAGTCACTTCACCTCATTATAATTAGCTCAGACAAATCTTTGTAGCAGTCTGTATATCATATTCACTATCTTTAAGAGCCATTTTGGGAAACTGTTTTAGAATCCATGAGTTGAGTTGATTAATTTTACCTGAAATACATTAAATTATGATCAAAGTTTCTTAAATGTACTGTCAATTCTTATTGAAAGTGTGATTCCAGAAAAAAATTGCCGATTTGGACCCAATACAAATTGAATAGACTTTTCAGAATTTGGAATTTTTTTTTTCCCTGAGTCAATTACCATAAAAAAGTGAAGTTTAAACATTGTAGTTTAATTAACAGGATGGTATAATGGTATAATTATTTCTTTTACTAAATCCTTTGAAATGTATACTTTCATACTTAGAAATTCTAAGTCACTGTATGTGACATTTTCTGAATCTCAAATTGTACTTTTTCTTTGCACCCCAGTTTTGCAGTACTTTTAATCAAAAGCATGAAAAATGATTATGCCTTGCAAATATATTTCTGAAATATGGAAAGTATTCCTTAATTTGTTAGTTTTGTAAATCCAAAATTTGAGAGGCTGAGGTGGGAGGATTGCTTCAGGCCAGAAGTTCAAGACCAGTGTGGGCAACATAGTGAGACCCGGGGTCAGTTAAAAAAAAAAAAAAGAAAAAGAAATATACCTGCATGCTGAATAAAATATAGACATATACCCTAAAATTTATCAGAAGAAATTAATAAAAATCCTTAGTTTTTGTTATGAATATTAAAATTCTTCATGTAAGTATTGTGTTATGTATGTATCACTGCTGTTTGGAAGGCAGAATATTGAGTGTAACATTTAAAATTACATTGTCTTTTGTAGTTCCAGCTCAACCAAGATAAAATGAATTTTTCCACGCTGAGAAACATCCAGGGTCTATTTGCTCCACTAAAATTACAGATGGAATTCAAGGCAGTGCAGCAGGTGAGTGTATGGATCTCAGTTATGTATCTGTGCCATGTGTATTGATACCAGTCATGAGGACTCTTCTGTTTTCATAACAGCTATTCAGACCTTATCTTCTCTGCTCCCTTACAACTTATGCCACTTTCCCCCTTTGTAGAATATGACCTTGATTCCTATTTCATAGAGGAAAAAAGAAGTCATTAAATGGAAAACTCCTCCTAATCACAGGCTCAGTGCCTGAAAACTTATCTACATCTACTTTCATGTTTTTCTGTTTTTGGGGTTACATTGAATTTAAGATCACTCTAGGAATATCCAAGGGGAGTTATCAGGTATGCAGTTTGTATGTAGCTGATATGCCTGTTGCTGAGGAATAAGTACTTGGAAACTGTCCTTCCCAGTGTATCAGAATTACCTCCCTGCCTCTGCTCTGGATTCTGTCCCGTCATAAGACTTCAGGAAATTCCCTTTGTTGGTGATCATTTCTGTATCTGATATCTTCAACAGCTGTCTCTCGTCTGTCTCAGCAGCAGCGTTTACACATATTTGAACCTACTTTTGTCGTTTAAAACTAAACAAAAATTGTATCAATCTCAAATCCTTTATAGTAACTTCTCTCTCATTGAATGTGCTTTTTGCAAGTTGAACTTCTTGAAAAAGTTGTCTGCATTTGCTTTATGTACTACTTTACCTCCTATTCATTTAACCACTAGAGTCTGTCTCCCATCACAGCCAGAAAACAATGGGGACTTTTTTTTTTTTGCCCTCATTTTACTTTATCTTTCTGTAGTATTTGATATTAATAGCTCCTTCCTTTTTCCCTTGGTTTTTAGAACACCACACTTTACCTATGTCCTCCTCCTCTCTGAACTCTTGTTTTTAGGTGTCTCTGTAGGTTCCTTTTATCTGTTCCCTAAAACACTAGGCCCCATTTGGTCCATTCCTCACCCTATTTCCTGCCTATTCCTGTGGCTTTAGTTATCACGTATATGCTGATCACTTCCAAGTTGTAATTCTCATGAGCTGTAAACCTATCCTTTTCCAATTAGAGTTTCACGTGTACAAGTACGGAATAACTCGTTATTCCTCACATACTCCTTATGTGTGCATAGGTTTCTGCCTAAGGCAGAAATTGGAGCATTAGCCTTGGTTATCTCACCCAGCACTTCACCCCAGCCCCTTGCCCCCTCCCCCAAGTCACCCAGTCTATTACTTGATCTTCTCATCATTGCTGCTACATTGGTTCTCACCCCTGCCGTGCTTCATCATCCCTCCTGCCGCTTCGGCCCTTGTTCACACTCAAGCTAGAATAATCTTTGCAAAACACGAGTTTGATCATGCTACTCACCTCACTTTGCCCTCAAAACCCAACTCGTTAACGTGGCTCTGTTCATGAATTGGCTAAAGTTGTGTCTTATTCAATAAATTCTATTAATGCCATCAATTGTATTTGGCTGAGTCATTCTGGAAGCTACTTTGAGTACTTCTCTCCAGAGATAAAGCTGTAAAGCAGCATGGCTTTAAATCAGAATAATCTGGATCTGAATCTTGGCTCCATCATCTATTCGTCTTAAAAACATAAATAAGTTGGAGACTTTTCTGAACCTCAGATTTTTTCTTTGTTTTTAATGTGAAATGGAGAGAGCATTAAGAACAGCGTGGGGTTATTCTGAAGATTAAATGAAATGACATGTTTGACCAAAAACTGTTAGCTTCCTCTTTTATTTTCCTGTGTATTACTCAGATTTCAACTACATATGCTCAAATTTTGGACTTAAGTTTTTAATACTGTTTAATCCAAAAATCTTTGCCCACAATTCTGACCTTTTTTTTTTTTTGCTACACTTTAGCTATTCTTGTGAAGAATTGCTGCCTGCTCATCCTGGCTTTTGATGCCTTCCTGTACCTCTGATCTAACTATCAGACCCTTTCCTGCCTTTTTTAATTTACAGGCTCCTATTTCTGTTCCTCTTCCACTTCCTTTTTTCTTTTTTTTTTTTTAAGATTTGGCAATCTAGAGAAATTTTTCCATGCTATAAAGATTGAAAGAACTCTGTAGGCCGTTAGTAACTGCAAATAGTATCTTTAGTCTAAATACATTTTGGGGAGGAAAAAAATAGCATAACTGCCCCCTTAGATTCTAAAGGTATGGTTATTTTCAAAATGCTAATATCATTTAGTCACTGACCACCTATTACTCTTTCAGTAGACTTTTGGCAATATCTAAAATTATCTGCATTGACTTCAATTATAACTGCTGGACAACTAACAAAGAACATAAAAACTGGAAGTTTGGTTTGGCTACATTAAAGTTTATAGAGTACCAACTACGTGCCGGTGACTATACTGGGTACATACTTTACCTCACATCTTGCTATAGTTTTTGGAGGAAGGTGGTATTATCCTATTTCACAGATGAGGAAACTGAGGCTGAGATGAATCAGGTACCTTGCACAAAGCCATATGATTGGTAAGTGATAGAGTCAGAATTTGAATTTACATCATTCTGCCTCTATAGCTTACACTTTCTCTGCTACACTTACGAGTCAGTCTGCTGTATATGTATTATATGGCAGATTGTGATCTTCAAAAAAAGATCACATTAGTTGGTAATGGTGTTGTGTTTTTAAAGGCAACACAAGTGACTTTGATCTACATTTCTGGTTACTGCTGTTTGAAAGGGTTATACCTTACATTTGTGCAATGAGCAGTACAAAACAACATGGAAAATGAAGTAATCTATATATTAAGTAGAATAATGCTGTCACTGAGTTGGAATTTCTTCAGGAATTTGATCATCCCACATACATCAAGAACAAGGTATGGTGTTAGGCTTTGGGATTTTATGTTTCATTGTGTGGCTATGTGCTGTAGTTTTCCTGGACAGAAGCAAAGCCTCAAAGTGTATGCAGACCTGATGGGATTATTAAGTGTTAATAAAATATAAATTCATTGTCTTGACATACTTTGAATAAAGTTTTGAGGAAGTTTTAAAAACCTTGGTGTCTAAAATATGAACTGTTTTTTTCCCCACTAGTTAAATTTATATTTCACCTAATTTTGTGACTTTTTTTCAAATAAAGGATATAGAACATGAAATTAGATTATATATTATATTTCCCCCCCTGGGTTTTTTCTAATCTTGCCCTTTTCATACTTTTCCCAAAGGTTCAGCGTCTTCCATTTCTTCCAAGCTCAAACCTTTCACTGGATATTTTGAGGGGTAACGATGAGACTATTGGATTTGAAGATATTCTTAATGGTAAGTTGTCATTCAGTACCTTCGTATGGAGCCCCTGTGATAGACAAGGCGACGGCAGCAAAGAAAGACAGAGAAAATTCTTGCCCTCATGGAGGTTACAGCCAATTGGATTCACTTGTGTTTATTCCCTGTAGTAAGATAAAGTTTAATGGTAATAACTGTTCTTTAACTGTTCTTAAAAGTGAAAATTATTTATGAAGTTCTGAGAGTATAGTCTTTCAGTGAAGTAATGGTAGTCATTCATTTCAGCATAGCATCATTCATAGTCATTCATTTCACGTCCTAGCATCAAGTCTGATGTGACAGTCTAATGCAGTATTCCTGGCGTGGCTTAAACAGTGAGAGTTGTTTCAGTATTCATGCTTGTGGGATGTGACTAGCGTTGTTTTTGTTTGTTTGTTTGTTTGTTTGTGGGGGTTTGGCACGTGTGTGTATGTGTGTGTGTGGACTAGTGTTTAAATGACTGGAACAAATCTTTCTTCAAAAAGTGGCCCTCCAGACAATGATTTTTATAGTTCTGCAGGTGATGAGTAGGAAAGAAGAACCTTGTCATTTTTAACAAAATTCCCTGAATAGTTGTATCATGTATGAGATGACTTTTAAGTAAAAATAATACACACAGCATCCTCTGTTTTTTCTGGTCCTGAGGAAGATAAACAAATATCATCCTGTTCGGTACTGCCTCTGCTCATTATGTCCCCAGCAGTGTAGGAGAAATAGAAAAACTCAACAGGATTGAGTTTTATTAGTTTTACTTGGCCGCTGATGTCCGGTAAGGAAATGCTGTGGACATAACAGAAGTCTAGTGAGCCTCCTTTTTGAGAATCTTCCTTGAGAGAACTTTTTAAATGCAGGAAAAGCTGGGATTCTTACGCTTTTACGTTGAACTTAGACCTCATTTAAAACTAGTAATGTGATAGGTATATGTAGTCATAACTTTTAGTTATGAAAATGCATTCATTTAAAAATCTTCTGTAATTCTGTGTAAAGAAAGGGAGAGGGACTTACTAAGCATTTATTCAGTCAGATATTATCTGTCAGGCACCAGGCTAGGCTCTGAATGCATAAGCAGGGTCCGCTCAATCAATACATAGAATGTTTTTATCACCCCCCCAAAAATTCCCTTGGTCCTTTCGCAATCCGTCCCTCCACGCTGGCCCCAGGCAGTCACTGGTCTGTTTTCTGTCACTTTAGATTAGTTTTGACTGTTCTGGATTTTCATGTAAGTGAACCATTGAGTTTATCTTTTTTGGAGACTTTTAAAATGTTTGTTTTTGTTTGTTTTCAGATCCGTCACAAAGTGAAATAATGGGAGAACCACACTTGATGGTGGAATATAAACTCGGTTTACTGTAATACATTGTGCTGTTTGTGAAAATAGAGGGGCTGCATCGTTTATAGTTGTCTTTTTACTGTAATTTGATGTATACAACATTAAAAGTACTGACAGGAGAATTTTTGCAAAAGTTGTATCAGTGATCGTTTGAACTTATTTGGGTCTTTGGTTTATGGCCATGTGACAATTGAAAGTACTAAAGGGAGATGATTTTGAAGTTCCTAATTTATATGAAAACAATAGCCTTCTATGTATTTAAAAAATTGTTGCTCATGAATATTATAATACGGTCCACAGATTCCAATTTATCCTATTTTCTAAGTATTCCATAAATTTAATTTTGAATAACCATTATCAGTAGTTGAGTCTGTAAACTTTATAGTAGCATCTTTTAGAATAAACATTTGTAATTGATTTCAGTGGCAACACTTCAAATTGAGTGTAATATATTTATCTTATTTCAGTATAGTCCATTAATACTCATAAGAATATTCAGTATATTGATGCTATTTTAGAATTATAGCTATTCTCTGATTCTTTCATGTTGCAAAGTGTAAGTTCAGAGGTTTTGATTTTAGTCTTTAAAGCGTAAAATTAAATCAATCACCAAATGTAGGTTAAGCTGTTGTACTTCATAGACTTAATACGTATTTAATATATTACCAAGCAACAGTGTTAAAGAAAAGTAAAACTAATATTTCCTTGTTTTTAATTTATATATCACAAGATGCTTAAATTTTTAAAAAAATTATTAGAACATTTATATATACACTATGCATCCATGAGCTAATTCCATAGTACTTTATTTAAAAATAAATTTTCACCATGGTTGTTCTTTCTTATAAGGTATTCTTTATGAACCTGGTATAGAAAAATTTAAGTTTTTAGAATATTAGTGAATGGGTCATCTTTCACAATTAAAAAATATTTTGATTATCAATATTTTAGTAGCATCTTTTATTAAATAAGTTACTGATTTGAAACATTTGGCAATGTCTAGAGACATTTTTTGGAGTGACAACTTTGCGAGTGAGTTGCAACTGGCATCTAGTGGGAAGAAGACAGGGATACAGCTAAACATTCTACAATGCAGGGGACATCCATTTATGATCGTGTAGCTAGTTGAAGACACTAAAGGTCGTTTCATGTCTTAAAAGTTACTGATGAGTATTCTAAAGTTTTCTGCATCTACAGCTTGCTCCCTGCAACCAAGAATAATTTGGTTCAAAATTGTCAGTAGCGGTGGGCCTGGTGGCTCATGCCTGTAATCCTAGCACTCTGGGAGGCTGAGGTGGGAGGATCGCTTGAGGAGGTCAGGAGTTTGAGGTTGCAGTGAACTATGATGACACCACTGCACTCTAGCTGGGGTGACAGAGCAAGACTTTGTCTCAAAAAAAAAGTCAATGATGCTGAGGTTGACAGACCTTAAGATTAATCAAATGACACTTTTTTTAAAAGAAGATCTCTCTTTTGCTCCTATTAAGTTGAAAATTGTCTATACCAAGACAATATTTGCCAACCCACTTTACACTTAAATAATGAGAAAATGCAGAAATAATGAAGGTTCACTTATTTCTAGATACATTGTAACTAATTAAGGAAGTTGGAGATTTCTTCTGTACCTTAATTTGAGGAATAATAGGTACCCTTCCTGACCAATAGAAGGTACTGTGAAATTAGTATAGTTTAAATGGAAAATCTGGTGCTTTAAATATAGAAATTGATAATCATGAATAGCACGTACTTCCTGATGGTCTTTTTGCTTCTCTCCTTTTCTTCCTTTACCTTCTTTGTATTTATACCAGTCGTCCTCATTCCTGGATTTATATAGGAATCAACTGGGAATCTTTTGAAGAAATTTTAGTGTCAGAGTCTTAATCTCAGAAATTCTAATAGGACTAGTGTGAGGTGATCCCAGGAAGTGTATTTTTGAAAAGCTCTCCAGGGTTAAGAAGCTTTGATTTAAAAGTGAGTTGCAGGTCCCTTTGAGTTATCTCCCTAGAGATACCAGACTCTTTCTTCAGTTAGGCATTTTTTCTTTCAGATGCTGTGGTTTTGTTGGAGAATTTAGTATTTGAAAGATAAGACTTGCCTCTGTTTCTCTTGTGAAGTAAAAAAAAAAGATACTTCACAGGTTGGTGCCTGACCTAATGGTAAAACTAACAGTCTTCTATGCTCACACTCACTCCATACTTCACTTCTGACACCGAATGTGTGGGGGTTTTCCCTCCACACCAAGCCAGTGGACGCCAATAGGTGTCCTATAAATTAATTCAATTCTGACACTGCCTGGGATTAGAGTTAAGCACAGGTTAAGGACTCAGTCCTACAAACTGCCTCTACTTCAGGAACCAATTGTAAGTCCCAGGTTGTGACTTGTGCTTCTGACCCACTGGACATAAAGGGGGTTCCCATGATTCCTCCTTGGGGCCTGTAATTTGCTAGGATAGCTCATGGAACTCAGGGAAACTTCATTCACGTTTATTCATTTGTTATAAAGCACATAAGATACAGATGAATAGCGGATCGAAGAGACGCATGGGGCAGGATACACGGGAGGGAGCACAGAGCTTCCGAGCCCTGTCAGGTGCTCCACCCTCCAGGCATCTCCGTATGTTCACCAGCCCAGGAGTTCTGAACCCCATAGTTCAGGGTGTGGTTTGGTTTTGTTTTTTGAATTTGCCCGGAACAAGAAGAGATCAGGGGTTTTTATGGATTCCTCATGTAGTTAGTAACTCAATCTCCCTTTCCCCTTCCTGGAGGATGGAGGTGGGTGAGTGGGACTAAAAATTCCAAGCTTCAAATCATAATATCACAGTGCTTGATAAGAATTTTTTAACAGTAAAATGATAGAAGCATATCTGTGGGGGTATAACCTAATTCTGTATTAAGCCTTTTTTTTAATATATGTGAGAACAAAGGAGTTGGGTTTTACCATCTGGGTGGAAGTATTGGAGGTTTGGCATATAATTGAACACTTTGCGCTCATGGGATGACTTCGACTAAACACATTTTTTCACTCCTCTACAAAATATAAATAATAGGTTTATCACTTTTCATTGATTTTGCCCTGTGCTATGGGCATTGTCCCTTTTTCAGGAGGCTAGGTAAATGTAGCCCAGTATTATTCCTCTGTTTTGTTTTGTTTTATTTATTTTTAGAGAGGGGGTCTTGCTCTGTTGCCCAGGCTAGAGTGCAGTCGCTATTCACAAGAGCGATCATAGGCACTACAGCTTCAAACTCCTGGGCTCAAGTGATCCTCTTGTGTAGCCGGGACTACACACATGGACCACTGTGCCCCGGCTTACATCCTTTGAATGCACACGTTCAAGAATGCGAAAAATGTTCTGAACAAGTAGATTACTTTTGAAAAAATGGAACAATTATGCAATATATAATCTTTCACTGGAATCTACAACTGGATAAATGTGTTTTTTCATACACATGAAATTAAGCATCCACCAAATTTTGACTTGCTATTTCAATAAAACAAAAATGCCATGGTACTTCATTGGACTTATGTACCTCATGATTTCAAATGAAATCCAAGTTCCTTCATGTATAATAAATGCTTAAGAACCTATACTTAATTTGTTTTATTGTAGATCCTTAAATATTAAAGAATGAGAACATGCTATTAGTTTTTCAAATAGAGTTTCTGTAGGGTTTCCACCCCAGATTAAAAAAATATAAGGGATTTTAAAACTTTTTTTTTTTTTAAAGATGAAAAATCAAGTTTTGAAGGTTTAGAGTTTGCTTCCAGATCTTGAATTTATTTCTGGAGCCAGTGAATGTGCTTTGTCAGCTGTACTTTGTCTTCTTGCTTATTTCAGTGTCTTGACCTTGTTACCACTGTGACAAGATAGAGGTCACATGGAGGATATGGCTTTGGGTCAGGGGAGGGAGGATCAGGTAGAATTCTGCTTTAACTTCGGCTACACTTAGTTTTGGAGAGATGAATTGATTTTAACTCAAGACTTCCACCACCTTTTTAATTTGTTTTCTGTATTCTATAGAAATCTTGCAAGACATGAACCAAATGATTTTTTTCACCAACTTTTTATTTTAAAAATTTCAAACTTAGCAAAAATCTGAAAGAACAATACAAAGAACACCCATACAACTTTCATGTAGATTCACCCATTATTAACATAGTGTCTTACTTCCTCATGAGCCTGTCACTTCTGTCATACAGAATGACAGAAACACTCTGTATTTTTTTTTTTTTTTTGAGACAAAGTCTCACACTGTCGCCCAGGCTAGAGTGCTGTGGCGTCAGCCTAGCTCACAGCAACCTTATACTCCTGGGCTCAAGCAATCCTCCTGCCTCAGCCTCCCGAGTAGCTGGGACTACAGGTGTGTGCCACCATGCTTGGCTAATTTTTTCTATTTTTAGTATAGGTGGGGTCTTGCTCTTGCTCAGGCTATGCACCAGTTACTTGGGAGATTTTTATTAATAAAACAGATTCCAAGACCCCACTGCAGACCTAGCGAATCAGAATCTCCAGGATGTGAGGCCAGGGATTTTTGTTTTTAAATTCCATGGGTGGTTCTGATATGCAGGCATTTCTTTAAAATGGCACCCTATTCTTATTGTCAAGAATTTTGGGTACTGAATGAATAATCAGAGGATTATCTTGTGAGTACAGGAGTGGATAAAAGGGATTTCGAGGGTTTTGAGGCTGTGCAGTACAGGCTATGAATGATCTCATTGAATAGAAATACTAATATACCTCTCTAATGATGAAAATACTCATTTCTAGTAGATATGGTTTATCTAGCCCCCTTTGTAAACTGTTGGATAAAAAGGAACATGTTCTCTTCAGTTTGCCTTTATCTGGATTCCATAAAGACTAGTCCTTCCATAAGTTACATTGTGGGAGTTTAGATGACAGCATTTTGTTTTGTTTTGGTTTTGTCTGGAGTATGTTCCCCCATCCCGTCAGCTTGCCTATCTCTCCAGTCTCTTCAGCATCACATTTACTAATTGACTCTTAGGATAGACACTTTGGAGATGGCTTGATTCTTTCATGCTATATTTTTGCCCTGGGCCTCTTCAATCTAATCCCCTGATATACTTCCTACATCTCCAGTAGAGTTTTTGCTCAACTCAGAAACCATCTGTTAATCCTTCAGCTGTATTAAACAATATCATCTGTGCCTGTTCAGTTCAGATGAAATGCGTAAAACCACGGAGTGTTGAGCTGGAAAGGACTTTATAGACCTTCTTGTCTAACCTCACGAAAGATAATAATTATAGGCAGTTTAATTGAGTGCAGGTTGTGCTAATGTGGTTTCGGTGGACACTTCATACTCTGGGTGATGCAGTTCTTGCATTTGGGTTTAAACTCTGTCATGTGCAAACCCTGGCTGCGGACTTCCTCAGTGCCAGGTGCATTTGTGTGCTGCTGTTG